CGAGTTATAAGGCTTGAAAGTTACAGTACCATCGGCATTAGCATTATCCAAGGTGTCCGAACAATGGCTGAAATCTTTTGAATGTTGTTCAGGATCATGAGCTTGACAACATGTATTAAGATTATGATCATTGGAGATTGTTGCTCTTATTTTCATTTAAAAAAATTTTTTTTATTTTTTGAAAAATAGAGAAGCAACCTCCAATGATCATGACCTTGACACATGACCGACCGTTTCCGGACTTTTTGAAGATCCTGTATATAAAGAATTTTCTGGAAAAGATGTAGACTTCCTTAACGTTTCTGAAAAGTGTTCCAATTCGTATAAAAAAATCTGAGAAATTTTCCAAAAAATTATAAATTAAATGAAAAGTTATTAAAAAATTCTCTAAACAATTATAACCTACAATAAAAAGTTATAAAGAAATAAATTCTGTATAAAATTATACAGAAATTCTGAAAAATTCTGAGTTATATAAAGAATTCCAAGAAAAAATTTCATCAAGTGAAGAACGCGATAGCCATGGTGTTGTACTTACACAGATACGCAAGATATTATGTCATTGAAGTAACGCGATATGCATTTATCGCAGTAGTCCAAGTGCATACCAATCTCGATATGGAATATCGTTTGCCGACGTATCACTATTAGATCATCCGATATGCCATTAGAGTGCTGATACGCTTGGGAATATAAGTGAGACAGCTTTTCCTTCGATTTATTCCCATTCCCGGGATGTTTTTCACACATGTTTTGGTTTATTTACGATATTATACATAAATAATCCTTTTTTGTATTACCGGAAAAAAATTTTTAATTGTTTGTCACGATCACTCACCGATACCCGCTTGCCAAAGCCAAGGAAGGAGAGCTTCCTCCTGGATCCGTCGGTGTTCTCCATCCTTCACCGGCCGTGGCAGCTGATGGTGCAGCTTAAGGCTGTGTCTTTTTCCTAGGTGCCCGGCCGATCCTGAGTCGCGACGGCGATGTCCACATGTGGAGTAATCGCTGTGATGGCAGCTCCGTTCTGTTGGCTGCTGAAATACCACGTCGTCACAATTACGATTAGGACGAGGAAAAATAGAATTTAGCACTGGTAAATTCACTTTAAAAATTATAACATCTAGAATGTAGATTTTTTTACTTAACGGAGAAAGAAGTTTGTGCGACAAAAAATATTCATAAACTGTGTATTACCTACAAACGAAGTTATTCAAATATGTTTCTGTGCGTAATGTATATGGATCGAGGAGGAGGAGGATTATTCGATAGAAATAAGGGGAATTTCGAACACAAACCAGGAAGTAACGGCCAGATAGTGATCTCGCGAGCATTTGTTCGCGGACTAACGTTCGCGAAGAGCTCTCGAGCGGCAACACGGCCGCGACTGGCGTCACTCAAGAATGAGATATACCTCGTCGCGAGTGACCGATGACTACCGGTAGTTCCAATACCCATCTTTGTATTCACGAATACCTCAGACAGACCACGGCAGTATCGTCCAAGTATTAATATAATACCTTTGCACAATCCGAATCGTATATTGATTTTTGAGCTGTACTTGTTTATAGAATCAGAGCTACGTTTACATCACAAATATACCTTCGATGTATCTTCTCTTAAAAATCAGATTCCAAAATTATTGCATTGTACCTTCAATGAACGATTCAGTATATACGTCGACTCATTTTCTCCATATATGTATAAATATATAATTAATTGCTTATCAATTTATCACAATGCGTTGGGAATTCGCGCCTCCCGAAGCGCAGTCAACGGATCTTCCTATCCATCTCCGGTTACGCGTCGCGATACGATGATGTAACCGACACACCCGACACTTTTCCCTCCGTTTCTTGACACGGCTCGTATCGGCAATCAACATAATTTAGTCTGTCGCGCCAGTTGACACGTAATTTTCATCATTTGTTTTACCGCAATTATGTAACGACGATTACATCAACGGTTTGCTTGAATTAAAAATTGTTCTTTTCGCGCATCTCGTAATGTACTATAACATCATGTATGTATATGATATCCGCATTTGTTACATTCATCGATGTTGCTCGAAGTCTTAATAATCTCTCATTCCATACAAACTTTCGAGCCATTTGTTAATTTTCTATAACGCCAATTTAACTTTTAAGTCAGATATATTCTCATATGTCTGTATTTTTTACGTCTTATTTCATTTCTTGTTTTTACCACAATTAAGCATAGAACATTTTACTAGTATACCATTCTTTTGTAACTAAGAAATGTGCTTACAGCGATTTTTTTACGAAGGGAAATAGCTCAGCCAATCTTTTTCAACAAGAGCAGGCGTTGTAAAATACCAGGGTGTAAAAGTATTCCTAAAATAAAAATATTTAAAATGCATCTTTGTTTAACGTCACGTCAAATGCGAACTGTTTTACGGATACTTCCATACTAATTGTAAATAAAACTACATTATACACACACGCACACGCACACGCACGCACGCACACGCACACGCACACGCACACGCACACGCACACACATACACACACACACACAATATATATACATTACATATATTTACATATATATACATATATACAAGTGTTGTATTCCAGCATCCATTGTGACTTCAAAGTTACATATAAATCTAAATTTTTTCCAATAAATAAAATATTAATAAAATAAAAAAGTTTAAATTACCCTGTTAAATTTATAGTGTCAAATTTAACCTTAGTAAAGTTGCCACACTGCTTCTACTTAATAAATAGTTATTTTTAACTAAAACAAAAGAGTTAAATAATTTAAAACAGTTCAAATTTAACTCAAATTTGGGTTAAATTCCATTGTTTTATTTAAAAATAACTGTACTGTTTTAGTTAAAAATAAATATTTATTAAGTAGGAGCAGTGGCGACTTAAGTAAAGTTAAATTTGACACTATAGATTTAATACAGTGTAATTATTAATTCAAACCAATTATTAATTCAATCAAGTTCAATATTTTCCAATTATTTTATATAATTTTTTCAAACACGAAAAAAAAATTGAATTGAGGGTTAACACATTGTGACTGGCGATTATACCTTTCGTTCTACTTCCGTGTCTCTGTGTAAAATTCCTAGATACTCCTTATAATATATTATACTTCTCGGACCTTGTAACAATGATCCTAGGAACTTGACGATCGACTTTATTGTTGAACAACAGACTGCATAGACATGCGGTATGTGCGAATATATATAGATATACAGATCTAAAGATCATTTCACAACGACAATACTATTCTTTATCTATTTCGCATTAATCGGAAATAATTGCATATAAAAGTACAGTACATTTTATTACACATAAAAGTACGCAATATTTTTACGTGTGTTATAAGCTTTTGTGTTATTTTATATTCGCGTTTCGAGTTACACTCAATTGTGTATGCGCTACAAATATCATTATTAAATCTCTTAAATCTCGTGGCACGAACACATTATTTACTCGATGTCCTCACCTATCTAAACGTCCACCTTTTTATTTGAAGTTATTAAAAAGATACACTTGTTTACACTGACGTTATATATCCGGCTTCCCGTACGGTTCGGAGTGAGGACACCTTAAACCTCCGCTGCGGCATTATAATGAGAAGATCTGGTGGCGAGAACCGGACGGCTCTCCATTTGTTGTCGTCTGTTTGGCGAAAAGATGGATCCTTTGTAAATGCAACATCTGCCACGATGACGTTATACATCAAGTCTTCTTGTTTTGCGGCCTCTCTATTTTTACGCTTCTCTATCCTGTCCAGGTTTTATCCGCGCGAAATAAAAAATTCTTTTGTGGAAGCGCAACGTGAATCGCGCAAGCAATCTTTGACGGAATCTCGATTTTTCTCATTGGCATATAATAATTATCGCACACAAAGTGTCAATCAAATCTTCTTGTACCTTGTATCGCGTCCGCGTGGGTTAAAAGATGCGGATATTCTGAGCCGGCGACGTCCAAAACACAAATGCGCGACATTCCTGACGGACGCGTCTCGTTAAGTTTTTAACAACGTTGAAACTACAGTTATCGAGCGAATGCAAGAATAATGTCAGGAGGTTGTTAAGCAATCGATCGAATTTTTCCATTAGATAAGTATGAGCGTCTTACCTAGTCTAACAATAAGCTCGAACGCAAAATGGAAGCATAAAAATGCAACAGCAATTTTTTGCTACAAGCAAAGTCATGAATTTATTTTTATTATCCGACGAATAGATAAATATTTACGTCATTATTTACTAACCTTATATAATTTAAAGATGATAAAATAGGAAGGAGCTAAGAGATCTTTACAAGTTAAAAAATATCTTTCTTTGTTAATCGAGCAATCGATATTATGTGGCATTATATTTTCATTAGAACAGATACGGACAATTTAGTACAATCGAATGTACGACCATTTAACCTAGTAAAAAAAAAACGATAAATAACTGAATGCACATTACTTATATACGTTTCACGCGAACAGTCAAGGTTTACGACCAAGCTAAAATTATTAAATTATTCGAATATTTTACGAATTGAAGTAAATATATGCAGATTCAATATTATCGTAGATATCAATTGTTGAGAGACTTTGTTAGCGTTGTACGTTATAAATATATATACAAATGTTGCACATTTAATGACACGCCAACATTTCTGACATACCTTAGATATCACGTGTAAGTATATTAAAAGATAGTATCGATTTTCTGTCGACAATAATAACCTCTACCGTATAGGTTCCTTGGAAGGATTATCCTTTCTGCTGCACAACTTCCTTATAATCTACCTTTTATAATACATATTCACGTATGATACTTCCTCTATCTTTTATAATACATATTCTCATATGATATTCTCGTTCACAGATTATTCTCGCATAATTATTGTGGCTCAATGAGCTAGGACACAGTAGGATCTCGGTAGGATCTTTCAAGATCCTGCACGTGCGAGCGGGCGAGATACAAAACGATTTCTTGTGAGAGAAAGGAGTGCTTATGTTTCCCCCCTTGCATCGCCTTTGTAGGACAAGGTTACATAAGCGAGGAGGACTACGACGCAGAGGTTTTTGACCTGATTTCACAGAACCCTGATTTACATCAATTATACTTTGTTCCCATGTACGAATATATGTATACAGCAAGGCCTATAAAAGATAGTGACTAATAGATATTATACGTATATTGTAAACCGATGTCTATCTAAAATTTAAATGAAATAAATTGACACATTTGGCTATTTCTACATGAAATAATAAATGCAGTCAAACTTCCGTATTTTTCGTATGTAAAAAAAAAGATTAATCTTAAATCTCATGATTTGAATCTAAATTAAGGTGCATTCGTTTATTTATGCAGTCACTGCTGCAGATGCGTCACTTTATCCTTGTTCAATATGTGAATAAGAAGGATAAAATGATACATCTGTGGCAGAGACTGCATAAACAAATGCACCCTAATATAATCCGAGAAAAGAAATAATAATTTCTTTCATAAAATTAATTTAAAAAATAAATACGGAATGATAAAAAAAATTCGAATGTCAATTGCTATAACTATATCATGCAATAAAAAATATTTTGATGTATTTGGAAAGATCTTTCTTTGTTGTAAAATTTTTTAATTATAATCTACAATCTACATACAGGGTGTCTCGTACTCAATGGTACAGCGCTTGTGGGCAGGTAGTGTAGACCAAACTGAACAAAAAAGTCCTCTACCATTTTGCGATCTTCGCAATAGTTATCAACATACTAATCATTTTAAAAAAAGAAAAAATTTTACATAATGGCCAAATTTTTGCTTCACTATGATTCTATTGATCATTTTAATAACTTTAAGTCTGTTTTACGAAACTTAAAGTTATTTGGAAAGACAATGGCATTAAACTTTTGCTGCATATAATTTTGAATAATTTAAACGACTTATTAAAAAAATATTTTTCTGGTTTG